TTACCTATTTAATTCACATTGACCCATTTATTTTTTATAGAATTTAGATGGCCCATACCTAATCCAACTCAGGATTAACCCAAACCCACCAACATAACTTAATTTTTTTTTACTATAGCAAATCAAGCGTTTAGCAAATTTAAAATAAAGAAAAAACATCTCATCAAATTTCCATTATGCGACTCCACCCTTTCCTCTGTGTCAGCACCATTCTAAACCACTACAGCTCCTCGGCCATTGCTTGGAACGCCGCGTACGCAAGGGCCCCCTCCCAACGAATCCCCACTTCTCACAATCGTCCTCTACAGCCCTCAGTTAACGTTCCGGCTTGAATAGCCAACGCTCCGTCCTCCACAGACCTCGCCCTCTTTGCTCCGAATTTAAACCACAGAGAGACCCTCGATTTCAAATCGTGAACAGCCTCAGCAACATGTATACATTGCTCAATTGAAAGACTTTGAAACCTCGAAGCACGAACCGCTAACTAACACATAGGACCGCGATAGCACTAGTATCCATTGTCTATTGGAATTAGAACAAGCTCTTATCTAAGAGAAAAAAAAAAAGATAACTTTAAGAAGGTGATTCAGATCTGTGAGATTTTGTTAAACCACTATCGACTGTTCTAAAAGTTTAAGTTGTTAGATAAAGCGTGATTTATTATTTAAATATTCTAATACTGTCCTCATACTTAATTTTTTTTTTCTGATACCAAGCATGGAAATATTTAATTGGGGAGATAAATAGAGCCTGGAAAGATTCGAACTCAAAACCTTCGACTCTGATACCATGTGAGATTTTGTGGGACCACTGCCGACTGTTATAAATGCTTAAGCTGTTAGATGAATGTATGATTTATTTAAACAACAAATGTTTAGAGAGAGTAATGGAATCACCGGTAAACGATGAAAAGCAAAAGTGGTTACCTACCAAAAATATGAACAACCATCAAATGCATGCTTGAGGCAAAAGATTGACTTAAAACGACTGTCATATCTGGTCCTCAATGATCCGCCGAAGCCGCCGTCTCCGAGCTCAGCCAAGAGCTCCTCCTAGAAGGCGGCATTTGGCCACTCCTTCACCCAATTCCAGCCTTGCCCATTGGACATCTTCAAGCTCCTCCGCTTCGTTGAGGACCTCCGCGAGCACGAGTCACTCCTCAAGCACAAGCTCATACAAGAGACAGTGTCCCTCATCCCGGTACTCAAGGGCATAATCTGATCAAAGACCGCCAAGATTGCCACATCGATGAAGAGGGGTCAAAGAATTCGAAGCGTCGAACAAGAGGCTAAGGTACAAGCTGGAGACGCGAGCTGGAGCTAGGTTGGAGGAAGAGAAGATGGCAACTAGCAAGAAGGAGAGAGCGAAGAGGGAGAGAGAAGAGACTATGAACTCTAGTAGGTTGGAAATAGGTTTTAAACTGAACCCATTTATACCCATTTATTTTAGGCTTTCAATTGTACAACCCATTAAGGGTAAGCTCTTCAAATTTTAAGTGACTCGTATATGATCCATTCCAAATATAGGTCATATATGAATTTAAGACCCATTTTAACGGATTTAGTCTTCATTGATTCACAGTGGTGCCAATAGAAGTTATGCGTGGACAATGACAGAGGAGTTAGGAAGACAAAATCAAACATAATGCTTGAAAAGTTTCATTGAAAATCTGTCCATTCAACTCGTCGGCATTATATGTACGACTGGCAATGGTGATCGAACTACCACATTAAATAAATCAGGCGAGACTTGGCCTTTAAGACATGATTGTACTTTTTCTCAAAAATTTAGGACTACATTGATTCAATTAAAAGGTGTAGAACTCAATCGGTTTCAGTATAATGGGTTTAGGATCGATTGAGCAACTTTTCACACTTATTTGGCTAGAATCAATAAAGGCAAACTATTTGGGAAAACAAAAAAGCAAACAAAGGGGGGAGACGAAGATATTTCTGAAATATTAAAAATTTGAAAAAACTATGATTGCTTTAATGGTTTTAATGGAAATGAAGTGACGAATAGATGTAGATGTAGAAAAAGTAAAGTAAAAATGCATCATTTTTAAAATCTGCCTAAAATGAAATCCAAAATTCTTCTACAACTAACATCTATCATGTATATTAAAAAAATTTCGAGAGGAAACGTATGAAAACATATAATTAGAAAATTTAAATAACCATTAGAAACTTGATATTCATCATTTCACTTTTTCTCCCAATCTCCCGTGGAAGATGTGAGATATTTTTTCTCATTTTCATTTTTTTTATTGCATGCACTGACTGTGCAACATTTTTAGTCTACTGTACAGTGAGAACTGATATTCCTACTTTTTTTGGCAAAAAATCTATTTTAATTTTTACAAAGGTTCACTAACTCGTTGAACTGCGGATATTTGAAAAAGAAAAGAGTAACAACATATAGTTTATGATAATTATCAATAGAATATCTCCATATATTCAATTTCCTTAGCGGATCACCATCTCGTCGATATTGAGAGACTATATGAATAAAAATGAAGACGCAGAGCAAACACTTTAGATCAAACAAATGACTTTTTCTAGGTTCAAAATATCAATTTCTAATGTGTATACATTGAAATAACGAGTCAATAAAAAGACATTGAGATATTAATAAGAGACCAATGGCATAACAATGCTATGTAATCAAATGATCAAGTGGGTCATAGGTGAAATAATCAAGTGCATGGAAAGCAATTCAATATGAGAATAATGGACATGCAAGTACTCCGAGGAACATTGACAAAAAAGAGATAAATCTAACAAAACTATAATTAAATGGGAAGATAACGAAAGATCCATTCTTTTCACGACATATCTCATCACGCAAGCACTGAGTTATCATGAAAACCAAAAGTGATCGGTTTCAGGGTAGGTCGGTTCTCGGTTTACACATCTCTGTGAGTCCCAATTCTAAAGGATTGGAATTGGAAATCCAACCAATCAGTTTTGGGGACCGCCTTGGCATAATGAGAAGAGGAAAACTTCGGAAACACGATTTCGAGCTCGGTACTTGATATATTATTCACATAGAGGTACGGGGGCGGATTTTCCCCCCTCATCGGCTCTGTCAACCTCGGCAAATCTAATCGGAGAAAAGTTTGGTCCGGCGAGCTAACACGAACAGATTCTCGAAAGAAATCAAATCAATTGTAAGATTTTATTCTCTGAAAAGTAAGGAAGCTGAAAGGTGAGGATAGTGACCCGTTACCATCCCGATGGATCCAAAGCGAGGGGCGCCGTCTGAGTTGCTGCCTCTAATATTCTATACTTCTCTCCTCTTCGTGCTTCCTTCATTTTGCGCCACAAAAAGAATTAAGTACAAAATATATATCTTTTGATTTTCCCCTCATTAATATTAATTGGGGGTGGGTCCAATAGCCAGCAACTGCATAGATCGAATTGAATGAAAAAAGTTTAGTGTTTTTAAAATAATTGGTTAGTGGGCAAAACGTGGGGTACCCAGAAATTGGGAAAATATCATATACATGTTCACGCTTTGTTTTTTATTAAACTTTTGATTTTTTATTTTGTTTAGATTGCGGATTAAATAATTCTGGGTTATGTAATCGATGCCAACTATTTGTGATAGCGAGGTTCTACCACACTCATTTTGTACAAGAAGATGGTCCAAATGAACCTAATATCAATCATAATAATTTTATGTTAATTAATTAGATATTATCCTCGATGTTCTTTATTGGTCTATGAATAATAAAAGCACATTTTATTAGTGCTTTTTTTTTGTTTCTTTTTTTTACGGCTCTTGCGATTTGATTTTTATCAGTTGAATATCGGAAATTTATATTTGCATATTATATATCGAATTCAAATTTTCAAATTTCTTTTTTCCTTTTTAAAGTAAATGAAAATAAGCATGATCCAGGAGATGGAGTGCACTGCCCCAGTGCTATTCTGACACGACATATAATTCATATCTGAGCTGTGTTGCCTTTTCTGCTGGCCCCAAAATGAGGGGAGCTGGGAAATCATCACTTTGAATGAGTTTGATGCAAAAAAATGATGAGAAAAAAGAAAAACTTGATATTCCCAAAAACGTCCACGCTCATCATCGAGAGATAAATACACTAATTTTTTTTTATTTTTCTCCGGGTGAATGATTTAGAATTCATTAATCGCAACATTTGTAATCCGTAGGTCACATTAAACGATACCGTCACAATTGAGAAATTGGGCTTGTTCGAGAAGACTCGCCCTCGAAGATTTGGCAATTTATTTACCCAAGGTTAAAAGGTCAAACTGCACTATGATTTAATTATTCCTTGTGGCGCAAGATGCTGTGCGTATTGGCCCTATGTAATCATCTCTCCAAGGAACGAAATGCTCTAAAAGACAAGCCCACTTGATAGTGCAAAGCTACATAGTGCCATTATTCTATGGGTGGGATAAAGGAATGTGGGGACTCCCATAGCTACTATTCCCCCATCCATTTCAAAGCCGCTTTGATAACCTAAACTAAATTAATTAATAATTAATCCGACCCTTTTGCATATTAAAAAAAGGAAATTAAGAATAAAAAAAAAGAGAATCTTCCCCTCATTTATTTAAAGGAGAGAATTTCTACCATAGTTGAGGGATCTCGAAAAAGATGGTGGACTCGCAATGATTCGACCGAGCGACGAAATCTCCGCTCCATGTGATCCTATGAAATCGCATTAATGATTGAATAAAAAAAGTAAAAAAAGTAAATATATTAGGTCGACACCATTCAAACTCATCGTTTGTTTTTTGGCCTTCAAATTAACGTGAATTAGATCACAAATTATGTAATTTTCGGTCTGTTTCCTAAATTTTTTTTTCTATAGCTTTTTTCTGGACAAACTTGTGTGGATTTGGTAGTCACTGATTTTGCGCTAGGGCCGAATTCGTGGGGATGAGATGTGAACTGCGTCACCGACGGGGTGCATGAGCGAACGTGCAACATCGAAGTATGTTATCATTTCCCACTCTCATGAAATCATGGGCCAAAAAACAGTTTTATAATAAGGTTTTTACAGCACCAAAAATGCCACGGTGTAATGATCACATCCCAATCCCCTTTCCAAAATTCTATTCATACAGATTGATAGGATACTCAAATCACAATCTCTCTACCCTCAACTCAAGCACAAGACCTTCAACTTGATATCTCAACATAGCAAAATTACATTTCTTATGTATGAAGCTCCTAAGGAAAATTATAAAATTAAAAAAAAAACCGATGTTGTCCAAACATAGATTGGCATTTTGACGAGATCGAGTATGGCCATGACTTTCTACTAGCATCATCACAAATCAATGCAACTTATGATGAAAAAGATTGAACTATCTCACGTTTTTTTATCTTTTCTCTGCCCATATGTACCAAAAGAAGCACAAGAAGAAGGGGGAAGAAAAGGGTTGAAGCAGTTTCTAACCCTAGTAAGATGGACCGGAAACCATGACATGATTCAATTCCACCAATTACGCGTCGCTCGAGGCCTCAGAAATGCTCTCCAGGTGAGGCCTCCATACGGCAGCACGGCCTCGCCTGCGATCCCTTTGCGTCGACAACTTCTCCGATAGTATTTCGCTCAAGTACCGGTCAGAGATGAGGAGGTTCGCCGTCATAGCGATGGCGGACTTCGCGTCGCCGCCCTCGGACTCTCTTTTCTTGCTCTTCCTACTCGAAGATCTCGACCGGGTCTTCTCGGGCATGGAGGGGACCGGCATGAGGAAATAAATCTTCCCCCTCTGGAGCTCCGCGTCCGGTGGCACTACAACTATCTTCGGGACGACCCCGTCCTCCGACGGTGACGACGAGGGTTTCTTCAGGACGTGCTTGGGGTGCAGCTTCATGATCTCACCCGCGCGGACGGTGCCGCTGATCTCCTCGACACGGCCGTTGGTGTGCACGATCCGGATCACGTCGAGAGCTCCACATGGTAGAATGCAAGAGATGCAACACCTTATGGTGTTCTTCATGACTCTCCTCGATTTCTTTTTGTCTTCTTTCAATCTAACTAGACTCTAGTTTCCCTCTCGTTCTCTATCCAATGTCCTCATGTTGGAAATAGCGAGGAGAAAATTGGGGAGAGAGAGTTCGGTGGTTAGACGGAAAATGAAGAAATCTTAAAGAGAAAGAGGTTTTAGAGAGAAGTGTCTCTCTCTCTTTTCTCCTACCTCGAAGAGATGAGTAGGAATCAATCACCTCAAATAATATATATGTTCATATATATGGTATGTGTAATGTATAGCGAATGACGTTGTATTGCGGCCTTTTCCGCTCCCTTTTTTTCTGCTTTTTTGAGGGGAGGGAATTTCTTTTGGTTCTTGACTTTTTCCATTGGGATGAAATTCATGGCATGAATAATTGCACCTTGCTCTGTACTTACCTTTTGGATCGATCTTTTTTAGGGCCCTCGTCCTCTTCCCCTTCACTAACTCCAATAATTTCATGGGTGCTTGGGGATTGACGGGGGTGTGGGCTTCCCATTGGGGACACATGTTGCAACATGATTGGAATTGCCAAGCGAGCTCAAACAAATCCCATTTTTTGCAATTGGGTCAGAGAGAGAGAGAGAGAGAGAGCTTTTGGGGGTGATAGGATTGAAGGGGATGGGGAATAGGGTGGAGAGAAATCTTCTTTTGAGAGAGGTTGGGTATGTGAGCTTTCAATATCCCCAAGCAAGATCATGTGGGCTTGTGGCTTTCCTTGGAAAGTGAGGTGTGTTGATGGATCTCATTTCACCTTATCTTAAGTGATTTCCCCTTTTCTTATCATCATTTTTTTTCCCTTGCTAGGGTTTTCGTTTCCTAGTCTTTGACCTCAGCGAAGGTAATAGTCACCATTACCAAGTGGGAATCTAGGCCAGGAGATTCAGATCACTAACTTGGGTGTGCTTCTTGAATCTCACTTTCAAAAACAGTAGCTTAATGGACTCTCTCTCTCTCTCTTCTTGATAGTATTCAAATTGGAGATCATTTCACCAGGAAAGATGTTCCACCTAATCTACTCGTTCCTACTATGATTGACTGATGTCACATAATTGCCATCTGTTAGCGGGCCCAACCTAGAGAGAGAGATAAGCAATAGCGCACCGAAACTTCACAAGTTAGCTAGCCAGGTTTGAATCTCGTAGCTTTTATTGTGCACACATATAGGATTTAACCTTATCTAAGCTTGGAAATTTCGTGATTTGAAAAGACTTTAGGTAGAACACATGGCATGTATCGAAGTCCACATTTAGATGGAACTTTAAATAAGCCATTTTATACAAAGTGGAAAGAAAAAAAAAACTTGATTTGCAATGTTAATTTAGGGTTTCCTTTAAGTACCATCAAGAGAGTGGGCCCTCCCCATTCAAGGCTACAGATACACATGTTGGTGGGCATCATGTGTGAGGTGTGACCCGGAGGGTCCATTGATAGTAAGTTGACATTGATTTTGCCCTCTCTGTGTGTTCATGACCCAGCATTTATAGATAGGTTAACTAAGTTTTCCATCTATTAATGAATTAGCTAAAGAAAAAAAATAAAAAATAAGAGTTTGATTTTTCTGAATCATTGTTATTTATGGAAATAAGGGAGAGTACATTGCAATCGAGACGGACCATTCCTCAAATTTAAGCAAACAAAAGAGTTGTGATTGATCTAGAGAACGTTCAGAAAGTACTGAAAAACTAGACAAAGAAGGACCGCAGAACATGGTATCAGATCTTGTTGGCGGACGACGAAACAGAAATACTCCCGGATTTCGCTGTGAACACACGAACCCACAATCAGCACCGTTCGAGAGATTAGAACCACGTCTTCTTCTTTCAACTTTGTGGATCCGTCAATACACCCAGCTCAACAACATCCTAGCTCAGGTACTCTAGTTGGATCTGCAAAGTCGAGCAATGGTGATCGCCGATATGCGAGCATAGTGAATGTGACTACAAGATGATGTTCTGTTGAGGGTTTTCCATGATATTTAATTTTCTTCCGAACTCAAATTTCTATTGATTCTTATTTTTCAAATGAACTCGAATAAATAAAAAAAAACTACAACAAATTGAATTGTAAAGGAACAACGTGGGTGCTCGAGAATTTCTTAATTAAGTAAAGTTTTCTTCAAAGGCCACACTTTTGCTTTATTTTTATATTATCCGTTTTATTTTAACATTACTTTTGTCTAACTTTATGGTAACTATGGAAAAAGGGTAGCGTAAGTAAAAAGGTAATTTATTAAGTATGCATATTAAGTGATTGAAATAAGTGACTTAGAAATGTTGACATGGTTATTGCAATTAATATTTGAGATAATAAAACTACTAATCTCAATATTCACAAAATAAAAAATTCTATGATTTTCATGTATATGATTTTTCCATATTTTCTAATGTTCCGACTATATGTGCTGCTATTTTAATCTTATTAGGTAGTTTGCGAGTCATATTTTTGTTTTTTTAACTTTTGAAACAAATTCCGATACAAAATGTAAGTCTTGATGAGTAAACTTTAATTGGTCCCGTGCATCTCCACAAGTTAGATCCTCCTAATAGCGTAAAGCCAACACAACGGAAAGTTGGCATCTCAAAAGATTTTTTCTCTCCCTCTCTCTTCTCTCTCCATCGTCTTTTTCAAGTTTCAGCCATGGGGAGAGTTTTAAGCTAGTCTCACCGTACCCTCCCGTTGATTTTATTTGAGTTTTTTTTTCTTTTCTCGTTTTTTTTCCTCTCTCGATCTAGATGTGGGAACTCTCTTCTCCCAGTCTACTTTTAGATATGAGAATTTAAACTCTCCTGATTTAATTCTAGACTTAGGAGCTTTTCTCTCCCGATTTAGATTTGGGAGTTTAATAATATTTTCGGGGATTCGATCTCTATCCATGTACAGGTCCCCTGCCTCCGGTTTCAATGATGATCACAGGAGCTTTGGCGTTTCGTTAAATTACGAAGATTTGCTCTTCCAAAAGTTAAATCTATGTTTTTTCAACCCATTTTGGTTGTCTCTGTATGGCGATGATGTAAAGGAAGCCGAACCTATGCATGCACCACCAACTGGCAACGCCATAGTTATTGGAGAAGGAATTTCCGATGTGTACTCATCACTGATGATGAGACGAGATCTATTGATTGTCCGCCGATTACTTTGCTTGACAAATATGTTTTAGAACAAGTGCGTGCTTAACTCTGCTGGTACTCTGTTAATCCTCCTTATTTTCTAGATTTGGCTTTGTTTTGTTGTAGTATGAGCTTTACTCTGCTTCGATTTGTTGTGCCATAAAGGTCTATGTACTTCTCATGTATCCTTTTGAGCAATGAATATAATTTTCTTTCGAAAAAAAATAAAAACACCACCGGTACATTACTGTTTAAGTTCCCCGTCGAACATCGTTCTAACATCAATTAGGCCAATAGTTTATATCAGCATAAGGAAAAGGTCAAATTGGCCATGTGGTTGATTATGGCAAAACAAGATGGTACATATCTGGTCCTTGAACTTATACTATCTTTAAATTGTGGTTTTAAACTAAGAATTTGTGCAACTAGATCTACGAATTTGTAGAGTTTTTCCATCAAGTCCTTCTATTTGAGATTTGAATTGTTGAATACAACATATTAGTCGTTGATAGCAAAAAGGGTAATGACACAAATGGTCCGTAAACTTTAACTCAATATGCAATAAAATCCCTAAACTTTTAATTTATTCAATATATATAGTCCATGAACTTTAGGCCAATGTGCAATGACGTCCCTGAAATTTTGGTAAATATTCAAACTAGTTATTAGACTGTATGAAAATATTTAATGTTATCCTTCCATTAATTTAAGTTCAGGAACAACATTGAATATTTTCAAATAGTAAATGGACTAGTTTGATGTACCAAAAGTTAAGGATGAGGGATCACATTAAATAAACTAAAAGTTCATGGACGATATTGCACATTGAGCCAAAGTTCAGGGATCACATTGAACAAATTATAAATTTATGGACCATATTACATATTGGGTCAAAGTTTAAGGATCATTTGTGTCATTTTCCCTTAGTCAAAAGTATGATGTCAACAAATTGGTGCCAATGAGGACAATCGACTTTTGTATGTTGAAATGCAGTTACAATAATCTAAGATACAACGAAGCAAATATGATTTCGATAGCTAGTCAACAAATCAAGGACTTGATTCCATGAACGGCAAAATTGAGGACTACGATGGAAAAACAACGCAAATTCAAGGACCTGTGTGCACTTTTTGGGGGGAAACGAAAAGGAAAATAAAAAAGGGACTGTGCAGTTGATGCGTGTAAGGTGGTTCCAAGAGAAGAACATTAGTATGTCATTCGATGTCATTTCAAAGAGTCTACTTCTAGACAAATTAATCATCAATTTATTTGAAAGTGACCCCCTTAGTTTACATTAAGACGGATCCGTGCACAAGATCCATTGAACGAGGCGTCATTTCGAAATAATTGTGAGATGAGAACGACAGACTAATGATTCTCATAAGTCAGATTAAATCAGTAGGTTAATATCGTCTCCTGATAAATCGAATCGAATGGAGTTCGAACCCAACCCGACTCCGGTCGTTCATCGTAAGTTATGCTCGTGATAGTTAAAATTCAAGAAATATCTCGTGTTCATTTCGATATTCGAATAATGCAGTTTATAGGAACATATACACCTTGGCTCACAAGTCACAACTATGATCTTTGATTCTCCTCCATGTAATTTCATGTTTAAGTCCGGGAGTGTCTTCTTTCTCTCTCTCTTTTTGTGCCTACGTTGGTGAATTTATTTAGAATAATACCAAATGTCATTAATTAAGCATGTGTGGTAGAAAATATTGCAAAAAATATTCCCTTCCACGGAATCAGGTTCACCTTCTCGATGCCACGTGGCAAATCTTTCTTTTTTTGGGGTTCGATTCACATGGCCGATCTTATCTTATAATGATGTGCAGTTTTTGAATATCTTGAGACAGGAATATTTGCTGACATTTGGACTTGATATGTCCTTGGTTTTTTTGGTAGCATTGCCTTTGTTAATGTCCACCATATTCAGTTAAATAAGAAACCATACACAAAATGCGAAATGTACTAAGAAAATTTAATAAAATTCAGTTGACGTGACAAATTTCAAATGAGTGTCGAAACAAGTGGGACCTATATATTAAATCGTTAGTTTCTTTAAATGCAACCAAATAAAAAATTGCGCTTGCTTATTAAATTATTAGTTTCTAATTGAAATTTTACTGTTGATCATGTTGAGATAGTGTATCGATTATACCATGCTGAGGTAATCAGTAACTGAGAACTCCTTACTATGATATCGCTGAAATGTTACTCTTTTGATAACCCTGGGGCTTGGCGAAAAAACCTAAATGAACGATTAATCTCGTGGCACGAGCACAGAGACCCAATGACCCGGATCTCCGCGAAGCATCGTAGTTAACTCTGGTTATTCTACAGATAGATGTTGACTCTACGCATGTTAGATCTTCAAGTGCGTCACGGTGCTGGAAGCGTGACAGGATTCGGATGGCCGAGCCTGTCCTGAGTTAATCCAAACACAATCGCAGAACATCCCAAACACGTTCGAAACCTGACA